TTACCAATTTGAATGGAGAGCAAAAGGACAAAATATTGTTAGAAATATTGTCAAATGGCAAAGGAAGTTTGGATTTTGCAATAAATCTAGTGCAATTTGGAGGAGACCCACCCATGCAGCCTCAAACAAAACCATCCTGGTGTACATGTGGGGTATGCCGACCAATGCCAACGGATCAAGAGAACAAATGTTGTGGAAAAATAAAGTGCACAACATCATATGTGACATTCCAGAACACTTGTCTCGAGAGAGATGTATTAATTATGGCTATTAGAGGAAGATGTGATTTGAGGGCAGAAGAACCCGACTATTCTACAAACAGTTTTAGGAAGGCGACATACCTACATTTTATGGAGGTACAAAAAGTTAGGGAAGGGTAACAGAAAGGTTTGCCCATCCTGTGTGGTCTTGGCTATTACACACATATATCCAGCAGATGATGGAATATACATGCAATTATATAAACCTTGTGATATATCATACTTGAAAAAATTCTTTAGGAAATAATATGTACATATATAATACATATGTACATGTAGCCTGTAACAATGCCAGCCATAGCAGCTGGTCATGCTAAACTATAAACAAAGTTGTTCTTAAATGGGTCTGAAGGTAACAGATTTTCGAAATAGTTGAATGTTTTAATCATCATACCATTAATGGCAAAACAATTTTACCACTTTAAGCATCAGGTTGCAGTCTGTGGCTCTGGGTCTTCATCACCCTGCTGCTATACATTATTGGCAGAAGCACTGGTGTGTACAAATCTCGAAAGTACGTGACTGTTTAACCAAATCATCTGTTTTTGGTATGGGATGAAATGAAATTGACGGTGCAATATTTTTTGGATGCTCCTCGGAAATTTCCACTCTACGGTGCACACTATCATCATCATCAATCCTCTTCTGGATAATCCGGGTAGATAGTGTGGGCCAAAAGTCATATGTTTTCAGATCTTTGACAGGCACAATCCTATGATTTTTCAAACGTTTACTGTAAACTTTGTTGTATTTAAGTTTACCAGTGGCACTAACAGCATTTTTCCGAAACACATGTGTGTTATGATCAATGGCTGCCAGATAGGTTCTACCAATAAATGCTTCATTTCTGTAAAAATCAAAATGTAATTTGTATACTAAAATGTCTAACGAAAGAGGTAAAGATGACTCTAAAAATTCCATTGCTGGCAATTTAGAGTCGAATTTTTTTTTTCACTCTGGTAATCATGTGGCACTCTGGGCCTCTTGGTCAGCCCCCCCCCCCCAAGTTAAAATGTTCAGTAACTTTCCTATGCTCCTAATGAAGGAGCTGTACATGAAACCGTGAAGACGGATCACTTGGAGTGCTGCATGCTTTAAACATAATTAATAGTGAAAACTTACTGGAATCCAACTCTTTTTGGTGCATAGTTTAGTAGCATAACATTTAAAATGCTTATGTCACAAAAATTGTTTTTTGATATTTGGCAGAGGACAAAAAGTTAGTTAATAGGTTCTTTAACATTTTTCGGTTTTCTCTTTTCATTCGCGAGATATGAGGCTCTAAACCTTGAAAAATTGGCTTTTAGCGAAAAATTGTCGCGCCCGAGAAAAAACCGGAAAAGGGTCTGGGGCGAGAGCCGTGTGACGTAGCTTAAGGGACGGAAGTTCGAATTCACATGTGAAGGAGTACTAAAAACCTATTGGGAAGACATATGTTTTCCAGCACTCATGGTTCTCAATGTGACTCAGAATACAATTATATTCCTAGGTATATTATACAGGATGAATCAAATGATACTAGTCACGAAATTGGAACTCTAGAAGCAGTTGATAGCGAAATTTTAGGCGATTATGATGCATATTGTCTTTATGCCGATGAGCCGCTAGCGAGCCAAGAATGCTACGCGCGATATTTAAAACTATGCGGAACACAAGGAACAAAACGAGATGCTAGAACGAAGATTAGACGGCCTTGAAGATATTAAATCATGGTGAGCGTAAACATAGATGTATTTAACATTTTAACGGCGTAAAACAAGTATCTCTGGCTGATATATTTTTGATACGGCATCAGTCACATCAAACCCTCACCTGTATCATATTTCACAAGTGTAAAAGTGGCGATTGTGCGATAATACATATACAATATACACACGAAGCTTGGTGCTGTCAGGAGATGGAATCTTGTAGGGATGTTCTGAAGGATAACTTCGTTTTAGAAGATGTGCCACAGCCGCCGTGCTGTATCACTCTACACTCGGGATTCAGACCTATTTGTTTGGAAAAATGGGCTTTAAGAATTGAACTTGCGAGAAAATACAATCGTTCAATCGTTCGTATTAAATAAACGTGATCGCAGATAAACACTGTAGCTTCAAACAAGCATATATACGTAATTTGCTCGGAACCAGTCTGTTTATATTTTCTTTGATCTCGTGTCTTGTATTTTCTTGCGAAGGTGATGGAAGTGTGGTTTTAACTCTTTGTTGTGACTGATGCCATATGAGCCCGTATCCCGCAAAATATAATATTAGCCAGAGATACTTATTTTACGTTAAAATGTTAAAATAAATCCATGTTTACACTCACCATAATTTAACATCTTCAAGGCCATCTAACCTTCGCTGTAGCATCTCTTTTTGTTGCCTGTGTTCTGCTGAATTTCTGAAATATCGTGCGTACCATTCTTCGCCGGCTAGCGGTTCATCGGCATAAAGGCATGCATCATAATCGCCTAAAATTTCGCTATCAACTGCTTCTAGAGTTCCAATTTCGTGACTAGTATCATTTGATTCATCCTCTATAATATATCCAGGAATATAATTGTATTCTGAGTCACATTGAGAACTATGAGTGCTTTCCGAATCTGAGCTACTGCCTGACATGCTGGAAAATATATCAAATGTATAATGCGCGTCGAAATTAAGTCCCTTAAGGCCCGGTTTAGACGCCGTGCTTTTCATGAGCCGAACT